TAAAAATAAAATTTACATAGTTTTTCATTAAATTATTAGTTGGTCGCCAATTTAATGCATTTTTATATATGCAGCCAAGTAAAATAAAAATGTACTCCAACCCAACATTAATGCTAAAGGCCTGTTTGGCCACGAGGTTAAGCAACTCTTTATCTTATTCTCCCTTTTCTTTTCTTTTAAATTAATTTGGAATAATTTTATTAAGTTTACTCTTACATGGTAACTTTTGTCACATTAAAATTATTATTATTAAAAATATATTAACTAAAATTTGACAATTGAGAAAGAATTATGAAATTAGATTCAAAAAAATTATATGTATATATATAATAATAATAAATTCGATTAGTATATTGATTTCATGAAAGACTCGGAGGCAGTTGTAGAGGAGAAATTATCCGAGGAGGCAGTCGTAATAGGGTTAGTAGGTTTCCATCAGAGAGAAATTGTAACTGCCCAAGCCCACCATTAGCAAATATTGTCTACTCTGACCCATTACGTATCACCATCAGCCTCGTGGTTTTGGTTTTAAAAATGCGTCTACTAGAGAGAAATTTTTCCACACCCACATAAGGAATGCTTCGATCCTCTGTTCAATCGATATGGGATCTCAAGCTGGCACACCGCCCGATGTCTGGCTTTGATACCATTTGTAACCGTTCAAGTCCACCACCAGTAGATATTGTTCGCTTTGATCTATTACGTATCTTGGTCGGGCTCATGATTTTAAAACATGTCTACTAGGAAGAAATTTTTACACTTTTATAAATAATATTTCATTTCATATAGAGTTACGTATCGCCGTCAGCCTCATGATTTTAAAAACGCGTCTACTAAAGAGAGATTTTTCCACACCCATATAAGGAATGTTTTGATCATCTGTTCAATCGATGTGGGATCTCACAATTCACTCTTTTTAGGGGCCCAGCATTCTAGCTGATACACCGCCCGATGTCTGGTTTTGATACCATTTGTAACCGTTCAAGTCCACCACTAGTAGATATTGTTCGCCTTAACCTATTACGTATCTTGGTCAGTCTCACAATTTTAAAACATGTCAGGAAATTGAGTGAGAAGTAAGTAGACGAGTGTTGATTCATTAAAAGCACCACACCAACCCCATAACTTTCCCACCTCCCAGCTCTTAATTTCCATTCCTATTATAAATTTTGTGTCCCACTTTCTTGGGAATCCAAACCCTAATCGTCTGAGAGAGGGAAGATGGAAGTGGAGAGAAGATCAGTGAAAAAGGGAGAAGAAGAAGAAGAAGACATGAACAAGAACGTAATGGTTAACCATATGGCTCAAATGGGTTTTAGGGTTTTGGGATTTGTATTGAGCTTAGTGGCAGCCATTGTCGTCGGACTCAACAAACAGTCCAAGGTTGTTCCTCTTACTGTCTCCCTCAACCTTCCTCCTTTGGATTATACTCTCATCGCTAACTGGCATTACTTGTCTGCTCTCGTGTAAGTCTTTTCTCTCTCCCGCTCCGTTTTTTCTTTCTATACCTTCATTTTCGTCTTTCGAGTTTAAATCGAGCCCGGTACGAAGATTTGAATGTCTACCCTTTTAAAACATGTTTGTTTTAATGTTTTTTTCGGTATCTGTTATCGATTTTATCACTCAATTAGTGATGTTTTTCGTCTAGCTGGAGATTTAAACTCATGATGGTATGATCAGTAGAACTATCTAGATTTAAACGAGTCAAAGGAGGTGATATTATTTCGAGTTTTCAAAAAATTTAACTTTTAGGTAGAATTAGAAATTAACAATAATTGACAATAATGAATATGGTCAAATATTTGTTAAAAATATAAATACGATCAACTTTTAGGAGCAAAAATAATAAAACTTTTGGTGTTAATTATTGAGTTAAGTATAGCTATTATGAATTTGGTACCTTGACACGTTGGATATTCATATACATATAGATAAAAGTGAAGATGGTATTGGATTAAAAGTATGTCGTGTTTTTTAGGTATCTTTTATCGACGAACGTGATAGCATGTTCGTATAGCTTCCTATCGTTTGCTTTTTTGTTAAAAAACAAGAACAAGGACAACATCGTAGCGTTATTGGTAATCGTTCTCGACACGGTCATGGTAGCGCTACTCTTCTCCAGCAGCGGAGCTGCGGCAGCAGTCGGAGTCATTGCGTACCACGGGAACTCACACGTGCAATGGAATAAAGTGTGCGATGTATATGGTAGATTTTGTAAGCAAATGGCAGCGTCTACTGTGCTCTCTCTTGCTGGTGCTGTAGTATTTATGTTGCTAGTTGTGTTGGCTTCTGTGGGCCTCCAGAAGAGGCCCAAATAAATGGGCTGGGCTTTGGTCCTAAATTTAAAGCATCTTCATAGCCCATATAAATGGGCTTTGGCTCTGTTCCTCACAGCCCAATTTAAAGGTTAGGTTATCAGTCGTGGAATTGAAAATGTTAAAAGAAGACTATTTATGCATTATATTTTTATTTACCTCAATCTCTTTTTCTCTAAAAAAAAAATTAAAAAAAAATATTTATCAATCGAGCATAGTTCAATCATTAAAATATTTAATATTCTTATTAAAATTTGAGCTTGAAAAAAAAAATTATGCACCATATTTAAAACGAAAATAAAAAAAATGTATATTAGTTTTAAAAAAATAATTTTTTGCAGGTGAAAATGTATTGATTATTTTATTATTACTATTAATTCTAAGCTACTAATTTTTAGGCATATCTTTGTATATTCTTAATTAATACATTATTAATTTAAATAACTTATTTAAAAGATTTTTATTAGTGTTTAATTCGAAGATTAAAACATTTAATAATAATGAATTATTTATGAGCTTGACGAGATTCGTGGCATAATATTTGACTTTAGTGATGTACGAGTCCAATCTAATTTTAAAACGACATCATATTAATAAATTATGGTTGAATTTTGCAACGTAAATAGAAATGGCTATAACATTAATTAATTAAAATGAAAATGAGTGTCACCCACCAAGTAAGGAACATAACTGCTCTGATCAACCACTTTTGGCACCAAATATTTAATTTTCCCACATTTTCTGATCCACATTTTCCCATCATCCAAACACTCTTCTTCTTGTTCCTCTCAATTGAACAAAGCAATGAGTGGTGGTGGGAAGTTGGAAGGGGTTCTTAGGGTTTTGGGGTTTGTGTTAACTTTGGTGGCAGCCATTGTTGTGAGGCTTGACAAAGAAGCAAAAGTGGTTCCTTTTTCTATCTCCCCAAACCTTCCTACTTTCGACGTTGTTGTGGTCGCTAAGTGGCATTACTTGTCTGCTTTTGTGTAAGCTTCTCGTTCTTTCTTTTTTCTTTTTCTCTCTATGTTTTAGTCTTTCAAGCTCACTCGAGACCACTTTCCGCTGCTTTTGTTTGTTCTTTCTACGTTTTAGTCTTTCAAACTCACTCGAGATGTAACCATTCAAGTCCATCACTAACAGATATTGTCATGATTTTCCCTTTTGGGCTTTCCCTCAAAGTTTTAAAACGCGTCCATAAGAGATTTCCACACCTTCATAAGAAATGTTTTGTTCTTCTCTTCAACTCTCATGTGAAGAGATTTTCCCTTTTGGCTTACTCTCGAGACCAACCTCCCAACCGTTGAATTATGTTTTTTTTCTCCTCTATAATTTGAGCTAGGTACATGTTAGCATGGTGAGTAGTAAACATTAAGAATAAATATATGTTTTGTTGTGAAGGTACCTTTTTGCAGCCAATGTAATTGCAAGCTTATACGGACTACTGTCGTTGACTATTTCATTAGCAAACAAGAATCGAAGCGATGTATTAGCTTTACCGATCACCATTCTCGACATCGTGATGGTGGTGCTGCTCTCTTCCAGCGGCGGGGCCGCCATAGCCATTGGAATTATCGGCTACCACGGTAACTCGCACGTGCGGTGGAACAAAGTGTGCGATACATTTGGTAGATTTTGCAAGCAAGGGGCAGCTGCTTCTGCTCTCTCCCTTGCTGGAGCCACCGTCTTTATGCTGTTAGTTATATAGTTGTTGTGGGCCTTCAAAAGAGGCCCAAATAAATGGGCTTTCGGCCCTCTTTCTCAATTCAATTTTCATTTTACTTCCTTCCATACAATTCAACTAGCTAAAGCTAAACCATATCTTCGATATAAGTTAATTTACTATCTTAGCCTTCGGCAGCATGATGCATATCTAATAGAATTTGATTAAGGAACCTATTAGATACAAAATTGAAAGTTAAGAACGTAATATACTTTAAAAAGTTAGTATATTATATGGTCACAAATTCATTATACCTGGGTTTCTTTAAGACCCCACCAATGGAGGAAGAAGAATTAACAACCTGAAAAAACAACAGTTTCCAAGATTCCACAACCCAATTACTCAGAAATGCAATGTTTGAAGTGATATTAATGGGAGATATATATATATATATATATATATATATATATATATAACTGATACAGAACCCAACCAACCAAACCCTCTTAACATATGATGATGATGATGATCTCTATCACTGTGGGAGAACTGGAGGAGCTATGGCGCGCGTGTTGTACGATTGGCAGTGGCAGCATTTCTTCCCAATTATGTGAAAGCACGCTTCAGTCGTGTCGTTGCAGTCGTTGCACAAAATCCATACCTGCAAAACGTAGCTCTAATTTTCTAGTTCTGATATCATGAAAGTTCTCAGAAATGGAGAAAAAAAGGTTCGAATAACGGGAAAGCAGTAAGCATTAGGCGTTTCTTTTGTACCATTGATTCATATTTAAGTGTTCATAACAAGTAAGCATTAGGTGTACGTAAAAGATAATGTCCAGAAATCAAAGATTCAAGTTGGCTGATTCAATCAGCCAACAATCTTCAGGTAAATATAACAATACATATAACGATACGAAGGATGACAAGTGGCTGAAGACAGTAATATAATCAGCCAACAACTTCGGGTAAATATAACGATACGAAAGACGACAAGTGGCTAAAGACAGTAATNCTTGCTATTAAACTCCAAGTAAACACACGCTTAATGAATAAAAAAACAAGAACTAAGAATCATAATATTTACATCATCATCATAGAATTTGCATATTTCACAGAAATACTCCCCCATATTAACCCCACAATTCGTGCAAACTCGAGCAACCTGCAAATCGTGGTAAATATTAACAAAAAAAAGTCTGACAGTCAGTTAAATATGAAAAAAGACAAACAATTGCCTCCACAGCTCTACGACATGTTTGACTTTACAACTGCTTAAAAACATATTTTTAAGTAATTAGATAGTCGTTCCGAACAAGCTCGTTACTTTCCGACTTGGCTTATTCTGAGGGTTAAAAGAACTAGTGGAATCTACATATTTCTTCACGAAGTAGACAAGATCAAAACTCAGAAGGGTATAACAAGATAGAAATAATATTCACATACTGGCTGCTCCGTGTCACAAACCGCACAGACAACCTGATTCAGGTTTAGGAAAAGATATCAAATGGCTGTCATTGCATACTTCACGCATAGGAGTAAAAAATCAATGAAAGGAATGAGATAAAGATATAGAAAACCATACTTGTTTAACATCGAAACGGTTGAGTTCATGACGATCAAAGGGTCTGGTCATCACACTCTAATGCATCAAAGAATGAAAAACGTAAGCAAAAGTAAACCAGAAAGTAAAGAACAACAATCAATAACAAGAACAGACCGTAGCTTCGTTATGGCAATGGCGACAGGGGTAGATTTCATTACAACATGGGGCTCGAATCTTACATCTCCTGCGATAATGCTTGCATCTAAAAACAACCCACAAATTAAAAACAGAACTCAAATCAAGAAAACCCCAGTTCAAGAATATTTACATAGAGCATCAAATGAACGAAAAGAAACAAAAGGGGCAACGAAAAACGGAATGGAGAATTGGGTTTTTACCCATAGCCCATCTTCCCAAAATCGAAACGATCATCGGCTGAGACTTCCATTGAAGGGTCAGGCGGAGAGGGAAGAGAGGCGACGGAAGAGCTTCTTAAAAGGGAAAGGAGGGCTGTTTGGTTGTTGATTCAATATCTCCCCAAAAGGAAATGTTAATGATGGAGACCCCAAATTTATATCCACCTTCTGCATCTCGATTTGCAATTTTCCTGCATAAAAAATTAGCAAAGATAGAGCGCTTGCAATAAATTATATTAAATCTTAAGAAACGCCCACTTCAAGAGAGAGAAAGAGAGAGAGGATCCGTAAAGGATAAGGTGGGTCGAAGACTGACATGGGCAGGTGAAAGGGGGAGGCGCCGAAATTTTAGCGAATGGGGAATTCAATGAAGGGTAAGAACTGGTAAGCCAAGAAACTGATTGGGGCATTTTAACAAACACTTTGAAGGCAACGAGGATTCCAAAACTTCTCTCGTCACTTTTTCTTTCTGAGAAAGAAACTTCTTCTTCCCTCACTTGATGGAGAAGAGGAGGGGAAGAGAATGAGAATCCCAATGCAATTCAGTTCACTAATTCTGGAAGCCATTACCGTACAAAAATTATCTTACAAGTTTTTTTTTTTTTTTTTTTTTTTCTTTCTTGAATTTCTCTAGATTAACTAAATGAGACCATGTAGTATTCATGTATATAATATCGTAAATATTCAAGTTGTACTTGAATGAATTGAACATATAAGACAGGTTGTAACCCACAAGAAGATTATTGAGAAGGACGTCTTAGTTTGTGAGATCCTATATCAGTTGAATATCCGTTGAGAAGAGAACGAAATATTTTTTATAAGGTTGTAGAAACTTCTCTCTAACAAAAGCTTTTTAAAATTTTTGAGAGGAGCTTGGGAAGAAAAGTAAAAGACAATATTAGTAGGTTTGAACTATTATAAATGATATCCAAAACAGATATGAGGTGATGTGCCAACTAAGAGGCTGAGCTTGAAGAGAAAGATAGGTAGAGAGAATCCCATATAATTATTTAAAACTCAAATAATTTTTATTTTTGTTTTTATGGAATTAAAAAAACTATTGAAATCACGCTCATTCCATTAAAATAACTCGCTAATAGTATATATTTAATTACTCAAATTTAATTTAATAAAAATTGATTTTCTTATAGTAAAAATGATTTTGAATAATTAATAATTGAAAACAAATTTAATAAAAATATAGTTATTTATGTTTGATAAAATATTTTAAAATTAAATTATAATTTAGACGATAGTTAAAATTTCAGGTTATAGTATATTATAAACCATAAGACAAGTGGTAACTATAAAATTAATAATTATTAATTAATTTTGAAACATGATTTTAGCTTATAATTATTATTTTACAAAATCATATAATTTACAATATAATATTTTAATTTAATAAAAAAATAAATTTAATTTATAACCTTAAAAAATATTATATTTATTAAAGTATACATATATTTATATTTTCACAAATTATTATTTCACTATTTTTCTCCATTTTACTAATTATTAAAATATTAAAAGTTGTTCAGAAATTCTTTTAACTCCATAAAAAAAATAAAAAAAATAAAAAAAAAAGGTTGAAGGGCATTTTTGAAATAAGTAGTATTTTTAATGTCTTTTTTGGAATTACCCTTTTTCTTTTTTCTTCGTTGAAACAGTTTCCAAGTTCGGTTGAAGGGTAGAGCTTCAAATCCTCCATTTTCGACCTTCAAAGGAACGAGAAAGACGGATCGGTAATGGCCATGGAGGAGGGGGAAAGAACCCTAACCAACCAAATTCCGCTCATACGATCTTCATCATTCCAACGCGATTATAACAGCATCAATCAACAACAACGAAAAACTGACCTCTCCGCTTTGATTTGCTTTCTTCTTTGCTCTCGATCTCTCCCTCTTCATTGTTAAAGCGGGAGAGATCCAATTTCTCCTTCTTGTTCTTCGCTGCCTGTTCTTCTCCATTTTGCCTCCAATCGCCGACGTTCATCGCCTCAACCATGGGCTGCGGAGAGTCGAAACTTGCTGTGGCCACCGCCGATGGTAGCCTCCCCCGCAAGAAATCTAGTGCCAAACGAACCAAGAGCAGCCGCAAAGCCGTCGATGGATCGAAGAGTGGCGCTGATTTACCTGTGGCTGAAACGAACCAAGAGCAGCCGCAAAGCCGTCGATGGATCGAAGAGTGGCGCTGATTTACCTGTGGCTGATTTGAAGACCGATGAGGAGAAAATCGACGGCGATGTGAAGGTTAAATTGGATAACAAAATGGAGCAGCGAGTAGAGGAGAAGAGCGATGTGCAGAAAATCGACGGCTCTGTGAAGAATGAAACGAAGNTCATTCCAACGCGATTATAACAGCATCAATCAACAACAACGAAAAACTGACCTCTCCGCTTTGATTTGCTTTCTTCTTTGCTCTCGATCTCTCCCTCTTCATTGTTAAAGCGGGAGAGATCCAATTTCTCCTTCTTGTTCTTCGCTGCCTGTTCTTCTCCATTTTGCCTCCAATCGCCGACGTTCATCGCCTCAACCATGGGCTGCGGAGAGTCGAAACTTGCTGTGGCCACCGCCGATGGTAGCCTCCCCCGCAAGAAATCTAGTGCCAAACGAACCAAGAGCAGCCGCAAAGCCGTCGATGGATCGAAGAGTGGCGCTGATTTACCTGTGGCTGATTTGAAGACCGATGAGGAGAAAATCGACGGCGATGTGAAGGTTAAATTGGATAACAAAAGGGAGCAGCGAGTAGAGGAGAAGAGCGATGTGCAGAAAATCGACGGCTCTGTGAAGAATGAAACGAAGAACAAGACTGAGCAGCAAGAAGAGAAGAAGACCGATGAGGAGAAAATCAATAGCGCTGTGAAGATTGAAACGGAGAACAAGACTGAGCAGCAAGAAGCGAAGAAGAGCGTCGAGGAGAAAATCAGTAGCGCTGTGAAGATTGAACCGGAGAACAAGACTGAGCAGCAAAAAGAGAAGAAGAGCGATGAGGAGAAAATCAATAGCGCTGTGAAGATTGAACCGGAGAAAAAGACAGAGCAGCAAGAAGAGAAGAAGAGCGATGAGGAGAAAATCAATAGCGCTGTGAGGATTGAACCGGAGAACAAGACAGAGCAGCAAGAAGAGAAGAAGAGCGATCAGGAGAAAATCAATAGCGCTGCGAAGATTGAACCGGAGAACAAGACAGAGCAGCAAGAAGAGAAGAAGAGCGATGAGGAGAAAATCAATAGCGCTGTGAAGATTGAACCGGAGAACAAGACAGAGCAGCAAGAAGAGAAGAAGAGCGATGAGGAGAAAATCAATAGCGCTGTGAAGATTGAACCGGAGAACAAGACAGAGCAGCAAGAAGAGAAGAAGAGCGATGAGGAGAAAATCAATAGCGCTGTGAGGATTGAACCGGAGAACAAGCCAGAGCAGCAAGAAGAGAAGAAGAGCGATGAGGAGAAAATCAATAGCGCTGTGAAGATTGAACCGGAGAACAAGACAGAGCAGCAAGAAGAGAAGAAGAGCGATGAGGAGAAAATCAATAGCGCTGTGAAGATTGAACCGGAGAACAAGACAGAGCAGCAAGAAGAGAAGAAAAGCGATGAGGAGAAAATCAATAGCGCTGTGAAGATTGAACCGGAGAACAAGACAGAGCAGCAAGAAGAGAAGAAGAGCGATGAGGAGAAAATCAATAGCGCTGTGAAGATTGAACCGGAGAACAAGACAGAGCAGCAAGAAGAGAAGAAGAGCGATGAGGAGAAAATTAATAGCGCTGTGAAGATTGAACCGGAGAACAAGACAGAGCAGCAAGAAGAGAAGAAAAGCGATGAGGAATAGCGCTGTGAAGATTGAACCGGAGAACAAGACAGAGCAGCAAGAAGAGAAGAAAAGCGATGAGGAGAAAATCAATAGCGCTGTGAAGATTGAATCGGAGAACAAAACAGAGCAGCGCGAGGAAAAGAAGAGCAATGGCGATGCGGCGGAGGTCCAGCAAGTGGAGAAGGAGGTAGCGAAAACAGAGAAGAAAATAACCGGCGACGGCGAGAAGAAGGAGAAGGACGTCGTTAATGGCGGTGCTGTTGAAAAACAGGTGGCCGGCGAGACGAAAACAGAGAAGGACGCTGTTGTTAATGGCGGTGGAAGTGAAGAAGAGCAGGGAGTTAAACCTGCCAAAGAGAAGCAATTGGCCGGAGAAACGAAGGCAGAGAAGAAGGAAGGCAGCAACAATGGCGTCGTCGTCGTCGAACAAGTAATCAAACCTGTTGAAGAAAAGAAATTAGCCGAAGAACCGAAAAATGGTCAGTAAAATTTTGACACAATGCAACCAAATTATTTCCAACTTATTTCACAAAAGGATTATTTGAAGTAATTCATTAAAAAGTGGTGAAATTATGTGGACAGGAGAAGGAGAAGGAGAAGGAGAGGCAGTGAAAGTGAAAGAAGCAGCAGAAGCTCAAAGCTCAGGCACTCCCCTTCTTCCCACGCAGGAGAAGACTGTGAAAGATGCCAATGTTTCTTCTTATGCAGGGAAATGCAGCAGCTGATTCGGCAGTGAAGGAAAAGAAATAGATGACAAAAAGTGGAAAAGAAACCGATTGTTGATGATGTTGTAAAGATCATAAAATGTTCATCATTTTTTATTATGTTAATAACAACTCCTCTGCCTCCAAATATTCACCATTTTTATTTAACCATAATATCTACGCTTTCATTTCTGAGTAATTATTTGCTTTTTACTTTTTATTTTTAAAATTAAGTTCATAAATATTTTATCCTTTGTTTTNTTTCAAAAACTTGATTTTTTTTTTTTTTTTTTTTTTTTTTTGAAGTTTGGTTAAAAATTTATGTTTTCTTGAGAGAAAAAAAAAATGAAAATCATTATTGATGAGAAAATAAGGAAAAAAAAAAAAAAAGAAGGTTAACAAATATGACCTAAATTTTTATAATCCATCAAATTGGACCTTATTTTATACATAGATAAGTGTTCTCCAACTATTACCCTCAATTCAATTTTTTATTGATTAACCCATTATTTTTAACCAAAAAAAATTAATAAAATAAAGTTTGACAGATGATTAAGTTTGATTAATTTATAAATTTACTACAAAATAACTTTGCCAAAGTCGTCAAATTTCAATAAATTTAGTTCTTATATCGTGCTAAATTTAAAGTAAATACAAATATTTTTTAAAATAATTTTTTGAATGAACACAAAATGATGAAATAGTTGGAGTTGGAAAATTTAGAGTAAAAGGATAAATAATACGTCACGTAAAAAAAAAACAGTTTTTAATTTTAAAAAATTAGTTTTTACTTTAAACTAATTCAGTCTAAAAAATAGTTTTTAAAAACTAACTTTTAGAATTTAATTAATAATTGAAATTTCCATTGATTAAAAAAAAATATTTACAAAAAAGTGAGAACACAAACACAAAATTTTCAAAAATCAAAACTCCAAAACCAAGTCTAATCTAATAACCACTTAGTTTTCTTTTGCTCTCAAGGAAATATTTGAATGGTTAATCAAATTTCAAAAAAAAAAAAAAAAAAAAAAAAAAAAA